CAGATGGACGCTGGGCCTGGCCGAGCAGGGCCGCGTGGGCCGGTGAGGACGCCGCCCGCCCCTCTGCGTACAGAGGAGAGCCGTCCCCGCCCGGGGGCGGGGGGCCCGGCGCCAGCCTTCCCCGGGAGCCGGGCGTGCCTCCCTGCGGAGCTCAGGCCCTCGGCAGGCGCTGCGTGGCTGGACCCCTCCAGAGGCCGGGCTCCCGCGGGTGCCCCGTCACCCACACTGGCCCCGGGGACCCCCGGGGCGCCCTGCGCTGGGTCCTCTGCGTCCCCCGCCACGCATGGGCGGCCCTGGCTCCCCAGGACTCAGCCAAAGCCACCCGCACATCTTTTATTAATATTAGGGCTCAAGAAGTTTTATTTCAATGGTATTTACCATCTGCTTTTTCCCTTGGCTGAAAATAATTGGAGATGAAACGCCCACCGCTCGGTCCCCCGCGTGGTCTAGGAAGGAACGCTGGGAAGAGACAAGACCGGTTTTCTCCTCCAGCGAGATGAGCCGGCTCGGCTCTCCGCCCGGGGCCACCGAGGGCCCAGCGGCCCACCTTTCTCCTCGTCTCCTGGTCTCCTGGTCAGGGTCCTGGGCGGCTTGTCGGGGCGTGGGGGAGGGGGAGCATGCGGCTCTTGGATTTCTATCAGCCAAGTTCCCCCATGTTCCTGTTCTGGCAACATCTGGCACATTTGATGTCCCACTGAAGTCTGCACCATCTGTAAATATAAATAGCCTGGTCTTGATTCCATTAGAGGCCCATGAATGGAACAAACATATTTTGAACTGGCTCTGCCATGAGGCCGTGAGCTGCCAGGATTGGGCTCCTGCTTTGGGGAGCAGAAGGGGAGACTGGAGGGAGAGGGTCCCTGCTTCCCACGGGGCCAGACCTTTGGGCTGTGGGCTCCAAGCCCCCCAGAGCCATCCTCAGCGGTGGAACCAAGAGTCACTGTTGAGGGGAACTTACAGGCGAGCTCAGTTGGTTGAGAACAGAGCAGGCCCGGACGCGTCGAGTTCATGGAGCAGGGCGAGAAGCCAGCCCCTCCTGCCCCAGCGCTGCTTCTCAGGGTAGGTGTCCCGGGCTGCCCCCACCCCCAGGAAGCCCCCAGAGACGGGAAGCCCCCGGGGATCCTGTGCCCTGGTTACCCAGGGCCCCATGGGCACCTTGGTGACGTGAGCTTTGGCCTTGCCAGCCTCATCCAGCTCCTCTGCCCTTGTCCCACCTGTAGGCACAAGTGGTGCTGAGTTTGCAGCAAGGGTCTGCCATCCCTCTGGGCGCCGGGCACGCCGCACCCCATAGACAGGATGGATGAACACCAAGGTCCCGCTCTACAGTGCAGAGAAGTGTTCAGTATCCGTGACAAACCACAATAGGAAAGAATGTAGAAGAGAATGTGTGTGTGTGTGTGTATGAACTGAAGCATTTTTCTTTGTCTGTTGTAAATCAGGGCTTCTCTGGTCGCTAAGAATCAGCCTGCCAATGCAGGAGACACAAGAGACTTGGGTTTGATCCTTGGGTCAGGAAGATCCCTTGAAGAAGGAAACGACAGCCCCGCTCCAGTATTCTTGCTAGGAAATCCCCTGGACAGAGGAGCCTGGTGGGCTACAGTCCATGGGGTTGCAAAGAGTCAGACAGGACTGAGTCACAAAACCACCACCACATTGTAAATCAACTATACTTCAATAAAAAATATATTCATCAAAAAAAAAAAACCCTGCAAATCCACACTAGGGTCAGAAAGGACTGAAATGTGTGCTAAGTAACATCTGTGTGTGTTCTGTCTCCGCCCGGTGGTCCTCGGGTCACAGAAACAGGCGTGAATCTCTTTCTCTCTGTCACAGTGGACAAACTACTGGCTCCTCCAAGACACAGTTCCTCTTCTGAAAAGGGGGTTGGTGGAGAGTTTCTCAGTATGATAGTTTGCTCAGGTGCTGTCACGGGGCACCGCAGGCCTTAGGGGCCGTGGCGGGGGCAGGGCGGGCGTTAAACAGCAGAAAGGTATTTGCTCACACTTCTGGAGGCCGGAAGTCCAAGATCAGATGTTGCCAGGGTTCCCTGAGGCCTGCAGATGGCCACTTCGCCGCGTCCTGCCGTGGTCGCCCCACCGTGTCTGTGTCCTCATCTCCTCTCCCCAGAAGGACACTGGCCGTGTTGGATGAGGACCCACCTCATGACCCCCTCTGCCTTAGCAACCTTTTCAAAGGCCCCATCTCGGGACTTCCCCAGTGGTCCAGTGGCTAGGAATCCTACTGCCAGGGCAGGAATAGAAGCCCAGACACAGAGAACAGACTTACAGACCCAGCGGGAGCAAGAGCGGATGGGACAGATGGAGAGAGAGTATTGAAACACATACACTAGCGCATGTAAAATAGGTAGCTGGTGGGAAATTGCTGTAACACGCAGGAAGCTGGTGCTCTGGGACCACACATGGGGTGGAAAGGCTCCCCTGGTGACTCAGACGGTAAAGAATTCGCCTGCAATGCGCGAGACCTGGGTTTGATCCCTGGGTGGGGAAGATCCCCTGGAGGAGGGCCTGGCAACCCACTCCAGTATTCTGCTGGAGAATCCCCATGGACAGAGGAGCCTGGCGGGCTGCAGTCCATGGGATCACAAAGAGCTGGACACGACTGAGCGACTAAGCGCACAGCACACACAGGGTGGAAAGGAGCTTCAAGAAGGAGAAGACATCCGTATACGCACGGATGATTCGTGTTGATGAACGGGAGAATCCGACACAAGACTGTAAAGCAATCATTCTCCCATTAAATATAAGTAAGCTAACAAAAAGAAGAATCAGCCCGCCAATGCGGGGGACACGGGTTCGGTCCCTGGTCCAGGAAGGTCCCACAAGCGGTGGAGCAGCTAAGCCCGTGCTCGCCACAGCTGCTGCCTGTGGGCGCTAGAGCCCAGGGGCTGTGACCACTGAGCCCTTGGCAACCAAGACCCAGCACGGCCAAAAATAAACAAGCGAAAAATTTTAAAATAAAGGCCCTGTCTCTAAACACGGTCACAATCTGAGGCCCTGGGGGCTAGGACTTCAACATACGAATGGAGGCGGTGTGCACAGGTCCATCTGGAAGCCCAGGCGTTTCACTGGGGGAGGAGGTCGTGTCACGCTGTGGAAGATGCATTGTCCAAGACGATCTGGTGACAGCTCAGTATCACCTGTCACTTAACCAGCTTTCCTCACTAGCTGTCATCCACAAGCTTCACGCCATACAGTGCAAGATGCCTCTTGTAAAGGAACCAGAAAGGACACTTGCTGTTGGAAAACTGTCTGAAAGGTCATGAGACTGACTGAGCTCGGTTCCCAGCCAGAGTTCACGCAAGTTGTGTAACTCCCGTGCCGGGCCTCATCTGGGGCAGGGCCGGCGGAGGACGGCAGTCCTACTGATGTGAGGGCATAATTATGCGAAGCTCTGATCAGGAAGCTCGGAGCGACGTGTGAGCATGACCACCCGGGGCTCTTGGGATGACTTCCAGTTGGCCCCTTGGGTGGAAGCCATGGACTGTGAAGCTAAGGTGGGTCTTGTGCATTGGATAATTCAGACTCTCCCCGGCTTTTTCCAGGAGAAATGGTTCCAGCTCCTTTAACCTTGCCTCACTGGCCCTTGCTTCCACTGCTCTGATCATTTCTGTGGCTCCTGCCTGCACAGCCTCCGGCCTCTCCGGATCCTTCCAGAAGGGTGACACAGACTCAACTCGGAGGCCTAATGAGAGGCTGACTCACGTGGATCCAAGAAGGGGGACGACTCAGGGGCCTGGGCATATCACGGGCCTTCCCCGCCTATGGGATCCAGGCAGCCTTGAAGAAGGCAAGGCACCCTGTTGACGACTACCAGATGCCCTGGAGTTTCCAGGATGGGCTTTCTGGAAATGCGTCAGATTTCAAAGATTCTATTTGATGGTCCCCATAAACCTGTAACGTGTCCCAGAAGTTCTGACTTCTCCGCTTCCGCACTGCAGACCCAAGAGGGCCTCTGACTCAAGGACATGACACTAAAGTGTCCGCCCAGCCCGGCAGGGGACAGAGGACTTCCTGCTGCAGCAAGGTCACGCGTCAGCAACCCGAGGTTTCAAAGGCCTGTCCGTGTTGCAAACCCAGAGCCATTCCTCCTGCCGGACAGCTCCGTTAGGCATTTGCATTCAGAAAGTGCGGTCACGTGAAGAGCAGTTGCCTCCAGGACTTTCCTCCTAACCCCCGGTCTGGCCCCAGTCCTGAGTTCAGGATCAAGCGCCTCGTAGGTGCCCACCTGGCAGTTGGTGACCCATTGGGAGCCAGTCCTGCCTTCATCCTCAACATATGGTGGCTGATTTTAGCCCTGAATATTTCACCTTCTAATTGTACTATTGAATTTCCTCCGGTTTTTGTAGGGTCGTGTTTTCAATTTGTCATGGTTGTTTTGAATTTTATTCTTGGCTTTGTGAGTGGGAGCCACCCCACCAAATTTAGCATCATGTGAGGCTCTGATGAGCACAAGTTCCATCCTTTTGTTTAAGTCATTAGTAAAGATAGGCCCGGCACTTAATCCCCAGAGGAGCCGTGTCCTTTCAAGTCGATGCCACAGCACTGATTATGCAATAAAGGGCGGCTTTTCTTTCTGGCCACAGAACACGCGTTCGTTGTAGAACATTTACAAAGTGCAGATAAGCATAAGAAGGAAATGAAAATAACTAGTAATCCCACCGAGCAGGCATGAGTGCTGTCTTCTGCTGTGGGCCCTTCTTGTTAAATACATATATACATACATTCATCAACATGGATTAAAGGATATACATTGAGCTTATTTGTGAACTTGATCACATAGCATGATCAGAGAGCTAGTGACTATCCATACTCAACTACTACACAGACGTCTCCAAATCAAGAGCATTTATATCACCCACACACACACAGGCAACCCAACTACAGTTGACCCTTGAACAACATGGGAATGCATGGATCCACTTCTACAAGGATTTTATTTTCAGTAGTAGACATTATAGTACTACAAGATCCATGGTTGGT